GGAGCACATGGGTCGATGAGACACTCAGGTTTGGCACAGGTTTCTATGGAGATTAATGACAGACCTCCCATTTATTTTAGAGAGAATGAGACTGGCTTGCATAACAGCCTAGGAATAAAACTTAAGAACTTTAAAAAAAAAAAAGAATTAAATCCACTTGTTTGATTTCACGTGTGCTTAGAGGTAAAGAAAAGCTAATCTTAAGAGTTTCACCTTTTTTTTCCCCTCTTTTTTAGTAAATTTTCTTAGGTAAGAGCTAGGGAAATGTAGAAGTTCCCATTGCATTCACCAGTGTTTCTCTATCCTAATTTTCAGAAATACTATTGCTTATTGGCATTTCTGGAGCAGGTTGCTAGAAATGCCAGAATGCACGATGGTTTTGTGATTTAAATTAAGGCCAAGGACACAAACATTGTCCTTTCAAATAAGGTAGAATTAGTTCATCAGCCTACGCTGTTTGGCCAAGTCCACATCACACTGGTTTTCTTTTCAAATGTCTTTAAAATACAATTTGAAGGCGTTCTGGTATGCTTGTTCTTGAAGAATAATTCCAAAACTTTTTAAAATACACTTTACAAATAATTAGGGCTCCAGCATTCTTCAGCCTCTCATACGTAAATATGCCTATGGAGCGTTACTGCAGAGTGCTAAAATATCCAGTCTAAACTCTTGGCAATTAATTATGTGCCAGAGCTCTGAATGTAACCAGCTTTTCAATCTTGTTCTTCAGCTTTAATTAGAGGACAAAAAACAGGAACATCATGACAAAAAAGGGACACATTTTCCATCCAAAATAGTCTTAATTTCAAAACTGTTTGATCATCTGTAGCATTGGCTCCAACGCAAGCGCTATACGTCCTTCTACCTTTGTGTCAGCATTCATTATAAAAAGAACTGGTCATTAGATTAGTCCTGTGAGCAACAGTTGCTTCTCTAAGAATGTGTTTGACAGGCTGAGCCATAAATACAAGCTGTAAGTGAATATAAGGAGAAATCAAGACTTACCAAATAAAACCTAAGCTTATTTCTGTGTTATGCTAGCTAATAAATGCTGAAGGTCTGTCCATTTTCTCAATGTTTTTACACTAAGTTAATGCTTATTTGTTTCATGTAGCACTTTATCCCCAAATTATAGCTTGATTCTGAAGTCCTTGTCCAGAAAAAAAAATAAAAAATACCACCCTGAAGTTGGGTGTTGGTTGAGCAAACCTGTGAAAGCATCTCGCCTGTTGCAAGTTCTGTCTAAGCCAGGAACAAATAAGCCGTCCAGGATGAACCCCTATGTAATTTTGTACTTGGCAACACATTACTTGTAAGCATGTCAACATGTTTTACTATGAATCACTGTAACAAACCTGCTTATGTTTTACAGGAGGTAATACATACTGTAGTCCTTATGCTAAATAAATCCAGCTATACGTCTTAAGAGCACAACATTAGTATGAAACCCACATGCTGTGTTCCAGCTTTTACTGTGAAGGCTGAAGGTTTAAGATGATTATGCCTCTTTACAGTATATTATCTGAATTTTAGTCAAATTCATTACAATTATGGATTGATTCAAAAGCTGACTGTTTCCAGTGACGCAGCTGACAACTACCAAGTTAGCTATCACTCATTTTTTGCATTTTAACAGCATGTGCAGTCAACAAGAATGTTCCAATAAAAACACTTTGTGCTTTTATGAAGTCAAAAGAATTGTTTGAATTGCCACTGATAAAGAGTGGTGCATGTCTCCAATAGAGATAGGTTTGCATTGTTATTTATATTATCCTCTGTATACTGCAGTAATATGTACAGTATGAATTCAAACAGCAGTAGCTGTAATAATTTTGATTAATAAAGTGTTAGGCTCTCCTTTCATTTTCATGTGCTTCTTACGGTATAGAAAGACTGTCACACATGCTATAGCCATGCTTGATGACCTGGAGTCAATATGAGAAGTGAGCAGCAGCTGAGGGAGAATTTGGGCTATGAGCATCACTAGCTGAAGCAGGCTGGCTGTGATAGAAAGCACTTACTAGGAAATAAAATTATCTCAGTATAGAAAAATCTAGGTACCAAATTCAGCAGCTTGGATAGGGAAACCTCTTTCTTGCATGTTGTCCCAAGAATTACAATCACAGTTAATTGGGACGTAACTTTTAAATACTTTAACCATTTAACCAAAGAATCTAACAGATTCAGAAAAGAACAGGAAGGATCCCTGGAGATTGAGAAAGAGGAAAATCCCTGATAAAACCAGAATTTCCAGGTAAGGTGATACATTAAATTACTTTCTCCAAAATCTTTCCCTCTTCCATCCTCCTTCCTCAAAAACAATAACAAAAGCAACAAAAATCACTTGGTGAGTGCAACATTGATAGATGAAGACAGAGCCACAAGACTTCTCTAACTACATCTAAGAACATCATTTTCAAGGTGAGTTGGAATAAATTGTATTACACTAACATTCATTACAGGTCAAGGTCTTAGGGAAATTTATCTTTAGGGAATATATAGGACTTGTCTCCATTTGTCCCTTTATATTTTTTCCACTGTAATTCAGTATCCGGATTTCCATAGTCAGAGGCTTTAGTAGTGTCATTGAGTAGTCAGAGTCTTTAGCAATGTCCAATTAAGCAATAGAAAAATCATGCAGAACTGAATCATGGATTTACACATCATCAGATGCACGTCTGGGAAGGAACACTGGCATGCTCTATACATTCATGAGTTGGGCGGGTAGAGTGTAACTGGGTATTGAGGCTGACACAAAAGCAAAAATTTTTGCTGTAGAGGGTTCTCGTTCCTACTGCTATAGCTGTCCTCTGTGACTAAAACCAAAGTTTCATAGGAATCTCTGTGAACAAAAGCCTTCCACTCAAACAGTCCTTTAGGCTACAGCCTGAGACTCGAGTAAAAATTCATTTTACCAAAGTGCTTGAAGTGGCGGCCTCGTTGTCAAAAGATCTGAATCACCACTGGGAGATACGTAGTCTTCTCTTTTTTTTTTTTAATAGAGGGAGCCTAGAATGAACTAGATCCTTAATTCAGGTGTCGCATTAAAAGGCCAACGTTAGGACAGATGAATTGGAGTCTTATTCTTCAATTGCACAGAACCACTAATACCTACCAGCGCTAACTCCACATTATTTGTCCTTTCCGCATCTCATTCACTGGTGGGGACCAAGGAATATGAAGCAGCACAAAGAATCCAGGTCCAAAGAGGTCATCTTGTTCTTGGTCAGGGTCAGTTTGGAACAGTAAGACAGCGGCAAATATAACAGCCCTTGGTAGCTCATGCCTGACTGTAAAATAGTTCTGTTCCATACAATCACTGATTTTTTTTTTTTCTTAGATAAGAAAAAAGACTAGTAAGTTAAAATGAGAGGAAAGGAACAGATACTTCTCATAACAAAGGTACAAAATTTCACATCCCTCTCTTGGGTTTGCAACAGGCTGAAAACTGGACTGGATACTCTTAAACCTACACAGATTTAATTGACTGCATTTATCAGAAATTAAACAAGTGACAAATTTGACTGTGAAGCCTGTGACATCAATCTCTGCTCACGAGTCAGCCAGTGACATTAATCCCTAACCTGATCAGTTGACTCTGGCTCGGCTGTCAGAGTTCCACCGTTTTCACATTCATCACTCACCATTTTAATTTCTATCAGTAGTTTTTACAATAGCATACGGCCCAGTTTTTTCTGCACTAATAGTTCTGTTGGCTTCCTTATGCAAGATTTGACAGTTAATTTAGTATCTGTTTACCCAAAAGATGATACGGGTACCAAAAATACAGAAAGAAAAAAAAAAAA